TCAAATGTTACAACAAATAGTGAGGGAGTAATTTGTGAAATTGACTACAAACAAGAACTGCAGGGGCTTGTTATCATTGATCAGGAAATTCCCTCTCATTATTATAAAATGCGCATAGCAATTGCAAATACATTTGTTAAATATAAATATTGTTTTATGATGCTCTGTGATGTTACTTTGAGTGTATATCCACACCGGGCAGGCTTGAAAAATATGCCTGGCCACGGTGGGATTCAAACCTACGACCTTTGGAATACTAGCCCAATGCTCTTCCAACTGAGCTACGCGGTCAGGACGGTTCGAGTATGCGATATTTCGGAACTGAGTCTAGTTCCTTCGATATCAGTGTAATCTAATAATCAATTTTCAAGCCTGCCCGGTGTGGATATACACTCAGAGTAACATTACAGAGCATCTTATTCACCTGAGTACATTACACCAACACAGCAAATATCATTGTTTTATGATATTGGAAAGCTACATCATGGCATATGGAGTGTTTCTATCTGATTGACCCTCATGCACGTAATTGGTTTGGGATGCCTGATCCTAATGGCTAAATGGCATGTTTGTTTTGAAGCTTGATCTAAACCTAAAGCACCATATGTGTGTTCACGATGTTCTCTGGATAAGAATGAAATGAAAGATTTAACTCAGATTGAGGAAATGTTAATTGTTCGTGCTTTGCCAATCATGAAAGTTTGGGAGCGTAGAGGTCAACGAGGTTACACTCAGGGCATGTGGCTAGCATAAGCATTTAAATTCCAAATGCATACGATGTTCACATTCCCTGTTATTTATAGACATTCCATCTCAGGCGAAAAGTAGGGAGAAACGGACTTGGGACATTTGTAGCATTTTGAACGTTACTTGCAAAAATTGGCGCGTAAATTTGTTGTTGTTCTCAACTCGCCAGCCACGCCTCCGTAGGAAAAATAAAAAACCCCGACGTCTGCAGGGTATCCAGGTCCGTCTCTCCCTACTTTTCTCTCATATTTTTGCGCCTTTTTTGACCGCTCGCGTGCATCGCTATTTTCAACCCCTTGAGAGACGGACTTGAACCAAGTCTAGTCTGTACTTCTTTAACTGTTTAATATACTGTATGATATTGACATTTTCAAGAAAAATATATTGTGGTCACAATAACTATTAAATGTTTTCAATTGTCGATATTTGTGTTTTGTTGATATTTTGATCATGGACATGGTGTATTGAATGTCCATATTGATTAAAGCGATTTTACATATCCGTTTCACTGTAAATTAAGTTGTTTCCTCGCTAACATGTGCCAATCGAGGCAGCAATTTCCTTGCGACAGTAACTCCTAGTTTATATATAAAATATAGGTTTTTTGGGTTTTTCTTAATTATTTTTTTTATTTACTATATTTTTACAATTGCTAATTTTCAAGTTAATTGACCTGAATTTTTTTAATTCCTTGGTTTACTTTTCAATAAATCTAAGTGATTCGTACGCATTAATTATATTTATGTTATTCACGAGCTTATTGTCAGCCAAACGTCGAATATAAAATAAAAATTTTAATTTTGGATATGTGGCGGGCTAAAATTTTAGTCATCGGTGTACATCCAAAACTAAGGCACGCACATTAAAAAACAGGTAGAACCAGTTTACTATCAGTTTGCTTCGTCCAGAGTTTTGGACGAATAAAATACAAAAACACATGCTAGCAGAGCCTAATTTTCCTTTCTCTATTCTCAAGGTAGACAAATGCTAATTTTTACCTGACATAGAGTTTCTTGACATGGAGGCTGTAACCACCCTGCCCCCTTTGTGACGTTTGCACTATCTTTGGTATCTCTGAGTTTTCAGTTTTTCTACTATAATTTTAGTTTCATTTCAGTTATTTACGTTTTGGCCTGATATTTCCGATCTCGGTATTGCAATTGCTTGGTATTGATTTTCGTGTGTGCCGAATGCTAACGTGTTTTTTTTTATATAGCAAAGCTATCAATATGTTACCAGATTTGATGAATGTATTTGATATGGATCGTTTACTAAAGCGTAGCTTTTTGTTGCTATGTCCTGTGGAGATATATGGAGATCTTTTAAAGAACGGATGCTTTTCTTGCTTGGAGTTGTGCGTCACAATGAGAAAACTACTACTCGATACGAAAACAGGCAGTTCATACACACCGTGTTTTGTAAGTACATTAACAATATTAACAATTGAAAGCAAATTATCGCGTGCGTACATTAGGCTTAATTTTAGTAGACCATTAAATCTGCATTGATGTTATTCTTAGTATGTGAGCGTTATTTTCTTCCCTTGTTTTTCTTGCATGGTGTGTGAGCGTTATTTTCTTCCCATTCACTTTTAATAAATGCGCAATATGTGTCCCTTAATTAACTTATAAGTTGTTTACTGTACTGAGTATATTAATGTTGAAATCAAAATGGTTGGTGGATTATGCATGTGGTTTAAAATGCTAAGAAACTAGACAAAACTGGACTAAGGGGATGCGTTTGTCATGTTGGTTGAGCAAATCCACATGAAACAGAATGTCTAAGTTTGTATGAATGTAAAGACAGCTAAAGCAATCTCGTTCCCAGAGTATGCCTGTTCGCGGGTTAGGTAGTGGCATGACTCTGGGGAAATCGAATCGAAATCGTTATTTGATTGGCTGCGCGATCATCAATGTTGCCGACACATTAATGCGTGTTTTTTGCGAGAATTACCCGTGGACATACGCGAAGAGAGAATTTATCAATGTTTATCAGATTTGGAATGCGAAATCAAACAATATAAATCGAAGGATATAATAATATTAATCGTATGAACAAGTATTGGGAAGTTGGGTATATACTTACAAAATGGCATGTATTTATGAATGAATTTTTATCGATCTACAGCACAAGTATATAACTGTATATTCATTATTGTATGTGGAAACGACGGCGTAACAAGTTCCGTATTTATTCCATGATAACCATGAAAGAATTGGCTAAATGAAATCATCGCACACGTTGTCGTTGTTTTGTTAAATTGACATATTGTTGCCAGGACTTTGGAGTGACAGCTTTTGGTTGTGTTAAAATAAAAGCTTTGAACCATACCAGAGGAGGTTGGACAGTTAATTAGCGACTTGTCACGTGAGCTCTCGACCGGCTCTATTTTCCATCGTGTTATCTGCAGAATTTGGACAGAAAATTTTGCATGCGACGGAAAATAAATCGGAAAAAAATATTAATATTAAAATTTTCTTGCAAAATCTCAAGTGTTGTGGTACTACTACTAAAGATCTGGTGATATCTGCAAAAATCTCTGAGGTAAACTTTATTTTCAATGTTATTTTGATGTTTGAAGTTAGTCGACTCCCCGCGACGTGTTGACTCAAGTCTAAATATGTTTACAATGTTTAAAATGAAATCTAGAATTCCCATGGTTCGATTTTCTTCATTTTTGGTAGTCGTCAAGACAAAAGTATAAGCTTTAAATCTGCTGGAATGATCCCGGTGATTCCCCGGCAGTTTTCGAGATATTGACCGTTGAAGTGACTACTGTCAACTCGACGTTCGCTAAAATGGCGTCTAATACCGTGGAAAGAATTTGCGCCATCAAAGATGATATTTTCAATGAATTTTTGTTAAAGTGCTAAAATATTATTTAAAAGACTTAGGAGTTGTTTTAATATTTTTGTAGAATTTATATCTGTGCGATTTTCAAAGTTTTGTTGTCTCTGGTTGACGCGACTGGATCGTGTACGTATTTCAAGACGAGCTGATCGCGCCTGATCCTGGGGTTTTTGTGGCAAATCGAGCTGCGGAATCCTCAGCATGGACAAAACAGTGTCATAACAGCCCATTTCAAACCAGCAGAGAGCTCCACTTGTTTTAAAACATGTGTCATATATAAACAAATTAAGGGAGTGGTCATTATTTCTGGGGAGGGGGGTTGGTAAATGGGGAAAATAAAGATTAAAAACTTTTTGACCCCCTCCAGACTGAAGCCAAACTTTTTGTGCCTCCCCCCTCATAAAAGTAGAAATTTTTCTGCCCCCCCCC